AGGGATCCTGAATTACCATTTGTTATTGATTGATTTCAGGGATCTTCACCTTCAGATCTGCTGGCTTGTCTTTCATTTTTCTGAAAAAAGATTCTTAAAAAATGTTCCGGGCGCTTTAAGACTTCTTACAGGGAAGGCAGTGAGTTTTGGGACCCTGCTGTTGCCGCCTTGGTTTCCCTCCCCTCCACTCTTCCTTACCCGTTGTCCTAGCATTATGTAGATAGTTCTGTCTGGGCCAGAATTTCAGCACTTCTCATGAGTGTACAGTTTTGACTCTGCCCTGGTGGGGTGAGGATGGAGCTGTTTTACCCAATATATAAAAGTCTGAGACCTGGCAAGCCTGAGTGGTTTTTCCCCTCAGTTTATTGCAGACCAAATCAGGATAAATATTCAGAGTACTATTAAATTGTTAATTTAGCAACAGTGTTCCACCCACCCACCCCCATGTACCCTAATATTCCAGACCACCACAATTGGCAGCTTTTCCTGGGACTTTCTTCTGGCTACACTTTGGAAAGCACAATCAGTAGCCAGTTCCTTAGTTGGTGAAGTAGGGGATTTAGACTGCAGGATGTGGAAGTGAGGAGGGAGGATGGAAGAAGGGATTGAGGAATGGGGCGGGGTGGAGGGAGGGAGAGAGGGAGGAAGAGTTTTCTTCCTGAATGTCCTAACTTAGCTTTATTCCTTCCCTCCCTCTCTCCCTTCCCCTGCCTCCTTCCCTCCCTCCGCCCCTTCCATCCCTTCCATCCCTTCCCTTCCCCTCTTCTTCCACTTTTAAGTCAGTTCTGGGGATAGAATTCAGGATACCAGGCTTGCATGGCAAATTTCCTTTAGTCACTGAGCCATCTTTCTGGCCCTAAGATCTCACTGTGTAGCTCAGGCTGACCTCAGACTTGTGGCAGTCCTCCTGCTTTTGCCTCCTGAGTGCTGGGGTCACATGTTTTCTCCACCACACCGAGGTAGCATAGCTTGTTTCTACAGAGAGCCAGGCAAGCGGTTAGTCTGCTTCTCCTTTTTCTTGCAGTGGGAAGTAAGTTTCTAGTGGGGAAGATGAGTTGCAAGACAGTTGCTCTGCCTCAGTGGGGCCACTAGCACATTCTGCAGGGAGGCACACCTATATCTGGGACAAAGGGCCTTGTGTAGGGTGTGCCATCCTTGGGTTCACTGAGCCCTGGGATTTTTGTTTGTTTTGTTTTTGAGCCTGGGTCTCACTGTAGCCAAAGGTGGCCTGGAACTTGCTAGGCTGGACTGGATCTCGTAGAGAACTGCCTGCTTCTACTTCTGCCTCTGCCTCTGCCTCCCAAGTGCTGGGATTAAAGGTGTGTGTCACCATGTCTGGCTTGGGATTTTTTTTTTTTAAGATTGTTTATTTTTATTTTATGTGTATAAATGCTTTTGTCTGTCTCTCTATATATATACAGAGGCCAGAAGAGGGTGGCAGAGCCACTCTGTGGGTGCTAGGAACCAAATCCAGGTCCTCTACAAGAGCAGCAAGCTCTCTTAACCACTGAACCATCTCTTCAGCTGCAGGTCCTGGTATATTAAATCCTATGTTTGTAAGTTGCCTCCCTTGAAATATGGACCTTTTGGGAGAAGCATTACAGGGCTGTGCCATTTACTAGCCTTGTGACCTTGGTCTGTTTACTTCACCTACCTGTTCGTGAGTTTGCTCCTCTGTTCTAATTGTAGGATTGTGGGTAGGTGACTTAATAAATGCAAAGCACTTAGTACAGTTCTGGGAAAAGAACAAGTTTTCTTCCAACGAGCTACCTTCTAACTCATACATAACCTATGTGTGTGGGGGCTTACACTTTGTAGTCCAGGCTGGCCTGGATTTGGATCCCATGATCCTCCTGCCTTGGCCTCCCACATGCTAGGATTACTGTAGGTATGCTTTATTATGCCTGGTTTATGTGGTGATTAAACCCAGGTCTTGATCAAACCCAGGGCCTTGTGTATATTAGGCACTTAATTCTATAAAGGGAGCTACACCCCTAGTCCTGGCCTATTTTTGATAGCATCTTTTGAATACTGTATTCCATCTGGCCTCCTTAGCCATCCAGGCTACTTTGTAATATCATTCAAGTTTTAGCTGGAAGGTCTGTCTGTATTTGTCTTGTGCTTCTAAATGGGTATGAGTAGACTTCTTTGTGAAGAGACTCAAGAAGGAGGAGACGGGATACGCACTGTGCACTCCTAACCTCTTACATGTGCTCTGGGTCCCCAGACCTGGGAGACTGGGGTGCTCTGAGACCTAGTTAAACATTTTAGCATGGTAAGAATATTGCCCAGCTGCCTTAGGCTTCTGGCCTACTTTAACGAAAGGCTACAGACTGGGTAGCTTAAGCAGACATTTATTTTCTCATACTTGTTGAGAAATCAGGGGTCAACACAGTGGGGTTCTAGGGAAGGCTGTCTTTCTGTCTTGGTGACAGTTGCCCTCTCATTAAGTACCTTTGTAGCCTACTATGTGTGTACTGGGAGCAAGAGGGTTTATCGTCTTAGAAGGCCACTGATCCAATCTGATTAGTTTCCTACCCTTGCGATCTCCTTCAGTCGTAATTACTTCCTGAAAGGCTGTTACCATACAGTTACATTCATCCATGTATGAGTTGGGGAGGATATGTACAGTTCAGACCATCTTTCCCCAGAATTACTCAGCAAGTAGAGCCAGAGACATCCTGTGGCTTCTTTGGCTCCGTGTGTGTTGGACACCCTAGGTGCTGGAGCCTAGAGGTCTCTGCCTTTCTGTCTTCTTGACCTTTAAGGGTCAGGTGGAAGAGTGGAAAATTTTATTTCTGTTTTGACATTCAGAACTGGCTGTGTGTGTTTGTGTGTATGACACTGTCATTCTGATGTGTAATAAGCCCTATCCTGTCACCTGTGTCACTTGTGTCATCTGTTTAGACTGGGGAATGAAATCAGATGAAACACAATGGAAGGAAGCTCCCTACTAACTCACAGGAGTAACCAGCACTTTCCAGGTAATGCTCTTCAGTGCTCTGTATGGAACGCTCTTGAGTGGGGCCCACAGCCTGCCACATACTTGTCTAGAGGCTGCTCCCAACATGCCTGCTTACTTCAGTTTCAACTAACCAAGTATGTGCTTCACAAGAGCCAGTTGTTTCCTAAGCTCGTTTGGACTTAGAGGTGCCATCATAGCTAAGTGATGTGTTTATATATCAGATAAACTGATGGAATGTGACTGCAAATGAAGTTTTTTTCTTTGAACACTAAGGGAAAGACTCAGTAAAGCCAAGTTGCTGTCAGATTAGATGAGCACCAGCTTGGGGAAATGAAGAGGCTCTAAAATTGTAGGCTGGATTTGATGTGTCTACATTTTCACTTCATCTCATAGAATCAGGACTTGGAAATCATATAGTGTTTTTTGTTCTGGTTCACATAAGAAAGGTTATGTAGACTCTTATTCAAAGGGCCTTACCCCATGTTAAAGAACGAGCGAGGGACTGGGTGGATGGCTCAGCGGGTAAAAGCATTTGCTGTGTCAACCCGAGGACCCGAGACCCGAGTTTGGAGCCCTCGAACCCATGTAAAGCCAGGTGCATTAGTGCATTAGTGATCCCTGCAGTTCTGCAGTGAGATATGAAGTGGAGACAAGAAAATCTCTGGAAACTCACTGACCAGCTAGCTTGGTTTCTGTAGCTACAAACAAGAGACCTTATCATAAACAAAGTAGATGGTGAGCCTGAGGTTGTTGTCTGACCTCCACAGGTCACTCTTACACACAAACACACACATCACACACAGAAAATAATTGAATGAATGAGGTTTATGTATGTTATGTGAAATAAAAATGTTCAGTCTATGGTTATGGTTCCATTGCTCTAAGCCAGTGACCTGCTTTCTAGACCTTATAATGGAACTGAAGATTCCTCCTGCTATGATCTAGTTAAAAGTAGGCTTGGTTACAGTTGAGAAGATTTAGGGAATTTTAATAAACATTAGGGATGCTTTGTAAATTTGTTGTTTTGTTTTTTGAAACAGGGTCTTGCTATAATAGCCCACGCTGGCCTGGAGCTCAGCCATCCTGCCTCAGCCTCCTGAGTGCCAAGATCACAGATGCCCAGTACACCCGACTGTGATGAGGCTTTTTATTTATATGTTTATTTCATTTTTATTTTATGAGTGGTATGCCTGCATGTATGTAAGTGTACCTGTGTTGTGCAGTACTCATGGAGGACAGAAGAGGGTGTTGGATCCCCTTAAATTGGAGTTATAGTCATTAGCCGCCATGTGGGTGCTGGGATTTGAATCTCCAGCCCCTCGTGAAGCTTTTTTTGGGGGGCAGGGGTGTCTTTTTGAGACAGTGCCTCCCTGTAATCTCAGCTAGCCTGGAACTCACTATGTAAACCAGGCTAGCCTCGATCTCACAGAGACTGTCTGCCTCTGCCTCTGAGTGCTGGGCTTAAAGGTGTGCACTGCCACACCTGGCTCTGGTGGAGGCTTTTTTTTTTTTTTTAATTATTGTTTTTATTTTATGTGTCTGAGTGTATTGCCTGAGTGCACCTGTGTTCTGCAATGCCAGGGAGGTCAGAAGAGGACTTCGGATTCCCCTGGAACTAGAGTTAAGGGTGGTTCGTAGCTGCCATGTCGGTGCTGGGAATTGAACCCGGGTCCTCTGCAAGAGCAGTCAGTGCTCTTAACCGCTGAGCCATCTCTCCAGCCCCATGGCAAGACTTTTTAAAACTGGGATTTTAAAGCAATTTTATGTGGCTTGTTCTCAGTAGATTCCTTGGTTATTCTTGTAGTCCTGCAACATATTGAAAGAAATCTAACTGCCTCATTTTTCAAATGAGGAAGCTGGTTGTGAGAAATGAATCAGGGCTGGTAGGGAAGGCTTGGGATGGCTGGAAGGGGGCAGAGCCCTGGTGGGTGTGACCCTTCAGTGAGATCCTCCCTGTTAGCTCCCTTCTTGGGTTCTCTGCTCCTCTGGCCCCAGAGGTAGAGGACTGTACTGACCTGTGGTCTCCTTTGGGCAGGACCAACCTGGAGGCCTTGCAGAAGAAGCTGGAGGAGCTGGAACTTGATGAGCAGCAGCGGAAGCGCCTTGAAGCCTTTCTGACGCAGAAGCAAAAGGTGGGAGAGCTGAAGGATGACGACTTTGAGAAGATCAGTGAGCTGGGGGCTGGGAATGGTGGAGTGGTGTTCAAGGTCTCTCACAAGCCATCCGGCCTGGTCATGGCCAGGAAGGTGAGTTTGCCTGGATAAACAGCTACTTGGAATTTCACTTGGGGTTGGGAGTCGGGTGGTAAATGGATGGAGGGAAGAGGATCTTTTTACTTGGTACCTTTTTATGCAGTTGGATTTTGAAGCCATTATCTATCCGACTGGGTAAACACACTGATGGCTGCTTATATGTGAGCCACCATCCTGAGTCTGGGGTATAGTAGCAAGTGACCCTTCTTTAGCTTCCTGTGTGCTGTGGGAGGGACACCAGGTACCACTTTGTTGTTTGTTAAGTGAGAAAGGAGCAGCTTTCGTATACTTAGCCCTAGTGATGCTCAGGCTAAACCTATTCAGCTCCTCTGTGGCTTCAGTCTTGAGTCATCTTCCCTTTCCTGTCTACCCTTGGTCTGTTCTCTGATTACAGTCCTCTGTGCAGAAGCCAGGTTCTCCTGTGATTTTTGGTTCAACGTGTTCATTCCTCTTCCCTTATTTGTGTTTATGCTGTTCCTTCCAGCTTTCCCAACAGTATCCATCTTTGGAACCCACTTCTTAAATAGCTTCTGTCAGCTGTTCCAACTCACTGATACTACCACCTCTGAGTCCTCTGACACTGTCTATGGCTCAACCTTATTAAGTAACCATTAATGTGCCTGCCATTTGTCTCCTAGTTGGAACAAGGGACAGTGTTGGGGCACATCAGGTAGCAGTTGAGATTTTGACTGAATCAACCACATCAAGCTCCTGAAGTCAAGGAGGAATACCTTGGGTGACATGGGTTAACCTGCGTTGGTTCCATATGCTTTTATGCACCATGACCCAACTATGAACAAAGTCCCAAAGGCCAGATTCCCTTCAGTTCTTAGCCCTACAAGTCATTTTGGAATGAGCCTTCCACTTAGCTTTGTACTTGAGATGAGTGAGCTCCCAGTTCTCTACTTTTGGCTCCCAGGACTAGAAGCACAGCTCACTCCTGGTTACAACTCTCTGGTGCTAACACCTGACTGTACATCAACACTGCACAAACAGAAACTTGGTTTTAAAATTTGCCTATTTGGGGTTAGGCAGGTGGCTCAGTGGGTAAAAGTACTTGCTGAAGAAGCATGGGGACCTGAGTCGGAAATACCAGACCCCACGTAAAAGCTGGAAGCATAGCATGAGTGTCTGTAATCCCAGGACTTCTGTGGTGAGAGGGGAGTCACTGGAAGCGCACAGGCCAACTGGCATGCGCAGCAGGAAAACAATTGAGACCTTGTCTCAAATAAGGGGGAAGGTGAGGACGGACACCTAAGGTTGTCCTCTGCCCTTGACATGTGGACCGTAACCTGAGGGTGCCCATATTCACACAAATGTGTGCATACACATACTTTGTATACACACACAAAGATAAATTAATAATAATAATAATAATAATAATAATACCTTTTAAACATTGCCTGCTTCACTGAGTGTGGTACATGCCCTTAACTTCAGTGCTTGGGAGGCAGAGGCAGGTGGCTTTCTGTAAGATCGAGGCCAGCCTGGTCTCCATAGCAAATTGCTAGTTCTAGGCCACCTGGGGCTACAGGGAGACCCTGTCTCAAAAAGAAAAAAAAAAAAAAAAAAAAAAAAAGGCTTTTTGTGCTTGGTAGGGTAGCTCATTGCTTATAATCCCAGGTACTTGAGAGACTGAGGCAGGAAGATTGTGAATTCAAGGCCTACCTGGGCTACAAAGTGAGTTCAAAGCTAGCCTGGGTAACTTAGTGAGACCCCTTCTCAAAATAATAAAAGAAAGCTGGAGATGTAGCTCAGTGGTAGAACACTTGGATAGCTGTATGTAAGGTCCTCTATCCAGTACTGTGAAAAATAAAGCCAAAAAGCTTATTTCTTTTTTTTTTTTTTTTTTTTTTTTTTTAAATTAGGGTCTCCCTATAGCCCCAGCTGGCCTGATGCGGACCAGGCTGACCTTGAACTCACAGAGATCCACCCGCCTCTGCCTCTTGTGAGTGCTGGGACTAAAGGCGTGTGCCACCGCACCTGGCTTCCTCTGACCTTTAAGAGCTTAAACATTTAGGAAAGTCTCCCTCCTCGTCTCCCTTCTTCACAGCTCTTTCCCTCACCTTTCTTCCCCAGCTAATTCACTTGGAGATCAAACCTGCAATCCGGAACCAGATCATCCGGGAGCTGCAAGTTCTGCATGAGTGCAACTCCCCATACATTGTGGGTTTCTATGGAGCCTTCTATAGTGATGGCGAGATCAGCATCTGCATGGAGCACATGGTATGTAGCCATCTGTCAGCCTGGGAGCAGCAGCCCAGGAGTTAGTGGTTCAGGCCTAATCTTTGATCTGGGTGGCTCCCTCCTGTATACCCTAAAAGTGTGTGTGTGTGTGTCTGTGTCTGTGTCTGTTTGTCTGTCTGTCTGTCTGTGTCTGTATGGTAGGTTTTTCTAGAGTGTGTATCCTAGTTTTCTCCTGTGTAGATGACCATAAGATTTTGATGTGGTTAAAATCTGGTTAATACAGTTTAAATCTACTGTGTTTATAATGCTGAGTGCTAGGTATAAGGTTCAGGGATTATGAAGATGAATGAATAGTCTCTGCCTTCAGGAGGTATTTGCCCTAAAGGCAGCCTGAGGGGTTTCTTTGGGTGACTCTCTTCACTAAGTGGAAGACAAAGGCAAGTCAGAGGGCATTTACTGGCTAATAATACCTGCAGGAGCTGCCAGTTTGGTTACCACTAGTTGTCTGCAGACCCTTCCTTCTCTTCCCAGTGATAGTGTGACTGCTAATAATGATAACTAATGCTTCTTAGGCATATATCAAATATTGTTCTAAGCAAATCAGTGTTTTATAGCATTTTCACAGCCACCACACACACAAACACACACACACACACATATTATATGAGTATGCCTGTGTGAATGTATAGGTCAGAGCACAGCTTGTGGTAGTTGGTTTTTCCCTTCTGCTCTGTGGTCCCAGAGATCAAACTCAGGTGATCAGGTTTGAAGGCAAGTGCTTTTACCCACTGAAGCCATCTCACTGGCTCCATAGCCACTTTTTTTAATCCTACTCAATGATGAAACTGAATCATGGATAAATCTGATTTCCTTCCTTACACTTAGGCCAAGCAGTTAGTAAGTCCTATTCTGCCTGGCCACAGGAATCCACTGACTAGTGATGAGGGGATTGGGCCTATTTCTAGCCTTGAAGCTTAGGACTTCTAACTTCATGTATGCTTTTTTGTTTGTTTACACTATGCAGCATGGCACAGGGACTTTGGAATGAGATGCTTGTTTATATACAGCTGATATATATTCCCTACATAAATATAAGCAGGGACAATGGCATTTTTGCCACTTATGTGTGTGTGTGTGTGTGTGTGTGTGTGTATGTATTTGCTGGGGATTAAACTCAGAGCCTTGTGTATACTAGGCAAGTGCTCTACTATTGAACTATGTAATAGCCCTGCCACTGTGTCTTGAAAGTTTTGAGTATTCCTGGCACCCTGGCACACAACAGGTGCTCAATAATTCTGTGTTTACTTGACACAGTCTCATTGTGACCTTAGACAGATTTCTTCATCTTTCTGATTCTCAGTTTCCTCATCTGTAAAGTAGCCATGATTCCATCTGCTTTATTGTGATGTACATTAATTGGAATAACAGTGTCAGTCTGCCAGCATGTTGTTCAATTCAGAGTGTATATCCTGTAAATGCTTTACTCCCATGGTGCTGACAGTTCAAAGAGACTGATAATCTTCATGCTTGATGGCTGCTGTGCTTTTATTTTATTTTAATTAAATTTTTTTTAAAAAAATTCTATTTATGTCAGGCATGGTGGTACACACCTTTAATCCCAGCACTTGGGAGGCAGAGGCAGGCAATCTCTGTGAGTTTAAGGCCAGTGTGGTCTACATAGTGAGTTCCAGGACAGCTGGGGCTACAGGGAAACCCTGTCTCAAAAAGACAAA